ATTTTGGTGGTCACTCTACTGTGTCTGTCCCTGCAGAGTCCTCTGAAGAACACTGCAGAGAATAACTGTTGCTAGGTAATTGTCAAAGAAAGTCATGCGAATTTCGAAATATCGATAGACTGTCTTTACAAGTCAATGGTGCCAGACCACTCCTGCTTTGCCAGTGAAATGCAAGCTGGAAGGGTGTGTTGCCTTCATAGTTCTTGAAATGACCTAAAAATGGCACATTCACCAAAACCAGCATCTAATGTAAGAAGTCCACCCAGAAGTCACAATTTATTCAGTTTGAAATATTTAATTGACTTTTCTGCCTTTTCAATGTTATTAACATTGTGATTTAATATCATAACACATCTATTATATTTGTGGAAGAAGTAGAGAAAAGAAAATATTAAGTTGATTTTTTTAAAAGAACATTTACCAGATTAAAAAAAAAATGTTTATCCAAAAGAGAAACAGAAATTTATAGTTTTCTTCTCTCACCCCCAACTTACAAAGTGAATCCTACATATAAATCTTAGGCTAGGAAGTCAGTATCTCTACAACTCGTTTGGAAAACATTAAAATTTTCAAAATAAACACAGAAATGAGTGAAAATGATAACTAATAAAATAGTAACAATTATGATAAAATCAGTCTTTTCGTTGTTCATCTAGTAACATTTAACAGTGATACTGAGTTTAACAATTCAAGATGGGACTGGAATAAATAAAATTAGTCAACATAAAAGCTGGAGTCAAAACACAAACAAGTAAAAAACAGCCAGAGTCAATATTGCAGTTGGCAGGCAGAGTTGCATAACTTCAAAATCTGGGGCAAGTGTCATGATTTATGGCTTTCCCCTACCTGCACAGGCCCATCTGAGGGTTGATGTGGCAACATGGTGTAGCTGCTGGACAGGACCAAGTGCCACTAAACCCAAAGACGGTGACCGCAATACTAACATGGATTCTCATATCAAAATAAAAAAAAATGATATCACTAAGGTAAGGGGAATGAGACTGACATAATCCTTCTCTTTCTGGCAACGGAATTTTGCTCCTCCCATTTTTACTCCTGAGTGCTTTCATTGATATTGGTAAGACCCAGTGGGGAACATGTCTGAGGACTGCCTGTGCTGACTTGACTCTGATTCTCTCTGGCCCAACTGAACGGGGCCTTGATTAAGCAGAAATGCTATCTCATAAGCTTTGCCCTCGTAAGTGATGGACTTGATGCATCAGAGCTGCATGCTTCATCTACACTGTATTCCCTCCAGCAATCAAACATACACAATGCCAACCACACATGCTTTGGGGCAGCGAAGCTTGATCCACTCACTCTAGCTTTGGTTCGGAAACAACTGGTTAAATCTAGATATTTCTGCCTATGTGTCTTTCCCCACATACAAATTAGATGTTCAACTTCTCCAGAGAAGCTCCTCCTCCCTAAAAACTTTATGGTAACTAAACAGCGAGGAAAACAGCGAGGAAATACAATATATATATATATATGCAACACCTTTATCAACATACTGATTTTATTCATTAAGCAAATAAATACCCTTATTCTGTATGGCGAGGATATTATTTTAATTTTGGTTTGCATCTTTTGCTTTCTTTTCTTTATTCTTTTTATTATGGTCCTGGGGATTGATCATGGGGAATCATTCACCCACACTAGGCAAGTGATCCACCACTGAGCTATATTCCCAACACAATTTACACCATTTTACAGATTCTACTTGTTTTATGCTCCTAGAGGAAAAAAAAAACTTAGCTAATATTAAAGAAATCTAGGCAGCGTCCCTTCTGTCTAGGATAACTCCTTCTGGAACACACCCACCTTGAGGTCCCAGCAACTCTGAATCACCTCTTCCATTCACTAGTCCTTAAGCCCATGGGAGACCAACAGAACGAGGACAGAGCTAAACAGTAAAGTAGATGTATGCTCTGGGACTTAAGAAAGAACTCACTGCCAGACGTCTTAGAGGTCATCTACAGAGGATGGCCTGTAGTTCTGGTTGATTTCTGACCACATCCCTTTGGCCCCAGGACTCCAGCTTGGGAACCTTGCATAGTGTCTGATGTTTATGGCAAGCCTTACTTGGGACACCTTTGGACTCTTCCTATGAATGAGGCATTGTCTTATTCCTACCCATGCTCTCTCATTTTGATACTCATGTAGTAGGTTTCTTTGATTTCTAGTATGCTTACAAGAAAATCAAGTTTATGGAAGAAGCTCATTGACTCACCCAGCTACTATTTAATTTGAATACAGGTCTGTCTGGCTCCAGAGATAGTTTTAACCATTAGATTATATCAATTTTGAGTTTCAGAAATGTGTATTTTATTTCTGGGCTCCACATAATTCCTTAAAAATTTTCCATCTATGGCTCTAATTGGACAAAGATTTGTGTTTTCTCACAGTTGAGTCCTAAGAAAATAGGAGTAAAGAAAGCAAAATTCTCCAGAACACAGCAGACTGGAGGCAGAGGTAAAGACAGCTGCATCCACTTTAGCTAGAGTTGCATGGCCTAGTTGACGGCTGTAGATGAAGCAGCATGTTACCATTTGTCTATTCACTCTCCACAGTTTACACAGGAAATACCATTTGCTTCCCATTACCTTTCTCAAGAGCGATGAGAAAAAGATTGGTTTCCCTCGTGTGCGTGTGTGTATATTTATAGGGAAAGAACAATGCGTTCCCACTGCATTTGAAGAAGATTTTGTCACACCATCACACAGCAAGATTCCAAAATTTCATAGAGCTTAACTGATACACCTAGGAGAGTTTCACCTTTCAAAGCGAAACCAGATACCCTTCAGAAACTCATGTTCACGCTCACAGGCTGGGGCAATGAAGAAGGACATATGTCAATCAAGGCAACACAGAGAACAGGCTACCTAGTGCATCTGAAGACTTTGCCCTAAAGTCTTCATTTACTCCCTTTGTGGTTCTGTGTCTTTAACGAAGAAAATATGATATTTTGTCTGAGGCTGACAAAGGGCAGATGGAGGAAAGGGGTGTGCTGACCTTTTCCAGTAGAGAGGTCTAAGACACAGTGGCTTCTTCTTTAACAAAAATACACTGAAGCTGGAAACGTGGCAACTTGTTACTTTATCTCTTAGCTATAAGCACTTCTTTTCTTTGAACTCACACCCCTGAATCCTTGAGGTAGCACCAAGTCAGCCCGGTTAAAAGTGAACTTGGCTTGTCTCACCATGCCTTTGGCCGAAACAGTGGGCTGCGTCATGGGATGATATTTGGCTGGGAGATGCACACTATCGGTATTGCAGGCAGCTCCAGAGAGGTATGCCAGGCCTCTCCCCACTCGGTTTATATTTGCATGTGAACAGCTTGCCGGCCATTTTATGAAGACAGATGAATCGCAGACCTGCTGGAGGGGTATCCAGACCTAAATATGTGAGCTACACACCCCCTAGCTTACCAGTTTTTAAGATAAAAATAAAGTATCTCTGGACACATCTTCAGGCAGATGAGTACAAATATAATTTATGAAAAATGGGACTTTAAAGGCATCACCAGCCAGGCCAAAAAGAAAGAAACAAGACTATAAATATTGCTGTATAGATGGCCAATGAAGGCAAAATGCAGCTGTTTGGCACTAAGAAACTACTCTGCAGAGCTCTCCCCTGTTTTTCCTTAACTGCCTCTTCATCAAAAAAAACTTCGATGAAAATTTCACCCAATACCAGAATGAGAATAAGGATCATTGGTTCACATTTAATGTCACAGTGGAGAATTGTAACAGAGAGTTTCCAGGGTTAACAAAATAGAAAGTGTTCTGAACAACTAGTGATAGGATGTCTAATGTGATAAGGTAAGCCCTCCAGGACACCATACCTAAAATAGTTCAGTTTACCTATCCTTTCCAGATAATCAACTGGAGATCAAAATGGGAAAAATGAAGAACAGAAGGAGAGAAGGAGGAAGCAGAGAGGTACGCTCACTCATGAAGCAGGAGATGAAAAGCAAAGAATGACAGCATTATATAGGCAAGGAAAATGAACCATTATTAACATTTTTATTTATTTAATATAAAATCACTGAAAAAGACTGTGGTAAGCATGTTAAGTGTATTACCTTACTTAATTTCCACTAGGGTAATAGTATCTTATTTTAGATAAGTAAATGAATACCCTGAGAGGTTAATTAACTGTTTTAATATTACAGAGGTTGGTCTTATACTTGAGGACTTAAAAAGATATCTATATATTGACCTATGATAGAGACTACTAGTTTACATCTCCAGTTTTATTAAATGAGCTGTTTTGTTCAATCTAATATTCCAATCTATGACTATGTTTCTCATCCTTGCAGTGTAGATCATAAATTTTGAACATTTCACAAGATATTATTATATTTAAAGTGTGTTTTCCATCTGGGAAAGGTCTCTGTAACAGTAACTTCACCTAGAATCTGAGATGTGGCTCAGTGGTAGGGGACCTGCCTAGCACGTGGGGGCTCTGGGTTCAATCCCCAGTACTGCAAGCAGGGAAAGAGAGGAGATTGGGTGAGCAGACTGCTCTGTTTACACAACTGAGGCATTTCATGTTCTCTTGCTATTTTATTTCAGACAATTGAAAGGGAAAAATCTTTCAAAGATGCGGTGCTTTCTTAAGGCCATTTGCAAAGGGATAAGATCTATATTATCTTGAAGACTGCTTGTTCTCCTATGATCTTAATGAACATCTTTGGACATTTCCCATTTTGAAGAAAACTCTTCTAAAATGACACCAGAAGTTCATGGTCCTTCTTTCATGCTGTCCAAGAATGTGCCTTGGTGAATCTGGGCCTCCTCTCACATATCTAGAGAATTAAATGTCCTAGTGAGGACCCTTGTGGAGGATTGGGGTGGGGGTCTAAGGCTGCTAGGATGCCTCTTGAGTTTTCTCTTTGAATCCTCAGAGTTCTTGCTGTGAGTGCTCATAGGGCAGCCTTGGCTGCTGGCTCCTGTGGACTCTGGTACAGCAGCCAGAGTCCCATGCTAAACTTACCATTTTCTGGCTGGTCCTTAATGTCAGCGTCACTTGGCTGGCTGGGACTTTCAGATTGACTTGAATCTGAAAAACATAAAAAATACAGCCAAAATTACAGGATCTGTGAGAGAAAGTGGATCAGAGGTGCCAGACTTTCTCAAAAGGTTCAGCCTCCAAACCAAGAATGAGAACGTCAGAAAAATGACAGGATGAATGAAAAGACAGGAGAAGGAATGTGGGAGGGGGCAGGTGCCTGAGCCTTGAGCACAAATGCTCAATTTTGTTTATGCCTCCTGTAGTTTCCTCTGTGCTAGCTCAGTCACAGAAGCTCCTGAGGATCATTCTCCAATGGGAAGGTGGTTCCAAACCCACTTCCTCATTACTTAGAACCTGATGACTGATAAGAGCGCCATCCTCCATTACACATGTCTGAAGCTTGATTCTGATCATAATAAAGGACCTGTTTTGAGGCTGGTATAGAAAAACCCAGATGGCAGCATGGACTGTAGCCTCATGCCCCTCAATTCCAAAGTTCTAATGTTCTAGTGCATGTGCTACAAGTAACCAGTGTCCAGACATGGCTTTCTGAGGTGCAAGCTCCCCACAGGACAAATATTTTCCTACTGATGTAGGCATCTTGGAACCCCAAAAGGGTTTGTTAGTAAAAGCAGAATCTGGTAAACCTTTATAGAAATTAATTGATTTCTTTAAAAAAAACATTAATTTTTGATCTTAAAAAATATTTCCATTAAGTTAATATCTAAGTAGGATAGCTTAAAACAACACTTACTTTCAGGAGGAGATAAAATGAACTTTCAAAAGAATTTCACAGAATTAGAAGCAAGTGTAGTTATATGTTTGGGAGAAAAGAGGAAAACTGAGGTACATATCTCAAAGAGAATAAACCATTTTCAGACATTTAGGCTAACAGACACTAATAATTACTTGAAATAAAAATATTAAAAGCTCTATATCTGTGGAAAGAGTGGATCCTAACTTTACCTTGATGTCACAGGTTTACAATCAGTTATCTTTAATCCGACTGCATTTCAGCAAGAAGCCAATAAACAATCAAGAGGTACAGCATGTAACCGTGACCAAACGGAAAGGGTCAGGACATTGGGACCTAGCTAGAGCATCCCTTCTCTTTTTTGGAGAGCCTGCACAAAGAAGTGGTACTCCCAGGGACCTTTCACCTAGAAATGCTAAGCTGTGATGTTAAAAGACTCCCCACTTTGAGAAAATAAGTATCTCAATCATAAGAGAGTACTAGAAGGGCTATGTCTACTTTAGAATTTTCAGACATTATTAACTTGGTAAATACGACAAAAAGTTCTGTCGGGTCAAAAATTAAAAGAACAGAAGTGTTAAAAAGGTTAATTTTAAAAATTTAAATCTAGCATAAGAACTTTTATCATATCATAACAATTGCTGTTTGTCATTTGTTACAATAGACAAAACCAGAAATCGTAATGGATTTGAAATTCTAATGACAGAAACTAGTATTATAATAGAAGATCTAAAATATAGCCAATTACTATATTTCTTTTCTAAGAAATTTCTTTTCTAAAATCCTATGATTTTTTCATTAAAAATTAAAAGTTAAACATTTCAAAACTATTTGTGTTTAAAAAAAGTCATACCATTGTTATTTTTTATTTTAGAAAAAACTTAAACCATTAATTACATAAAATTAAAGCAAAGTATCTCAATTTATTTTAGCGAAATACCTTTTGGTCACACACAAAACAGATAAAATTTTACCAAACACAACATTTTCTGTAAAACCATACAAACAAATACATAATTCTCTTCTTGATAGCTTCGCTAAAATTGAACTTGTAGATGTGACATCTTTCTAACTAATGCTTCTCCATAAACCAGTGGAAAACATCTTTTCTGTCAATTAATTTAGATACACAAAAGACAACAGGATTAAACTATCTATTCATTTACAAAGAAAATAGGGATAATGAGCCCCAAACATTTTTTAACCTTATAGTAAACATCTTTATGTTCACTTTTTGTTTTAAACATTTGTTCCCTCACCCTAACTTTAGAGAAACAGTAAACATGAGCAATACAAGCTGAATAAGAGGTATGTTCGAAGCTAGTTTAAAATTCCCAGCCACAGAAAAGCAAGCAGACGAGAGCGTCAAAGAACTGAACGGCACGGAAAAGCTCGGGCTCGGTCTACACGGGTCCCGCACCACCCAGAACACCGAGACACAAACACTGGAAGAGGCATCTAGCCAAACTGGGATCCGAGCATGAATTCTCAGTATTATTCAAAACTCGGAGAATGTTACCACCCAAGGCCGTCAGGCTAAAATATTCCATCCCAGGAAGGCTTAAGCAAAGCCAAGGCTCCACATGAAAACCCGAGTGCCCTAAATCTTTGGATAATTATTCTCTACCCATCCTGGTGCTGTTCCACGAGGAGGAAACACAGCCCCTTTCTCGAATGGAAAAGGTCACAGATGCTGTTAAGTACGGAGCCAACCAGATGACCAGAATTACAAATGAATTTCTATCCACAGACAACTGATGCAAGTCAAAGTCCTCTTAAGCATTTGCATTGAAATACTATCAAAATTAATAATTTTACTTTTCTCTTTTATATACTTTTTAGAGAACTAGGGGAAGACTTCATGTCCTTCTGTTTGGGTCAATTATTGTGTGGTTGTTTGATTTCTGACTACCTGAAATGAGTAGAACCCCCAAAAACAAATTGACTTGTACCAAGTGGGATAGTTCTCTTACATAGGAAGCTCCCCAATCACCATGCACTGGAGTGGTGACTTTCTTTAACGGTTCCCAGTTTAAGGGCCAACACATCTGTATTTTACAATGAATATTACTTAAATTTTACAAAGAATGCTACTTCAAGTGTATCTAAATGATGGGGCTGGAATGCTGTGGCGGGGAAGTAAGAGCTATCCATTTCTCCCCCAGAGCTAGGCATTTGTTTGCTGTTTGCTTAATAAACCTCAGACATCAATCTAACCTTGAAAAGTGACATTTCCTTTGGTTTTAAACAATTTATGACCATACATTTAAGACTAAAATAGACAGGGTTTGCCTATTGAAAGCTCGGCTAAGACCTCTTAAGTGAACTGGTAGCCATCTCTCTATGCATTTTTATGGCCTCCACAGCTATATTGCTGCGGTACTCAAAGATAGTTCATTGTCAATATAATCATAGAGAAAGGACAGAACAAATCCTCATGTCGACATATTGGTCTCTGCTTCTACAACTTGTACAAGAAGGACAGAACCTTGTCCTGAATTTCTGACTGATACACATATTCGATCCCTACAACCTTCGGTCTGTTCCCTTTCAAGATGCACTCCTTTAGCAGAATGCAAAGAATGATAAAAAAAAAAAAAACAAAACACGTGAATGTGGTAAAAGTGATGAGGGGAAAATATAGGTGTCACGTCCCTATATTTTATATTAATTAAGCTTCTTGCAAAGATGGCATATTGCCAATCTCTCCTGTCCTTGACCTAGAATTAATCCCTTCCCCTCTGATCCATCTTTCACTGTGCGCACCTCTCTCTTGGTACAGCTGATGGAATCTGTGTAGCGGTGGATCAGGCTCCTGCCGAGTCACTTCCTCTTCTCTCTAGGCCCTTTGACAGGCTGCCTGGCCCAGCCACAGAGCTCAGTAACTACTCAAGATACAAACTCCCGATTCTTGTCTCTGCTGTGTATCCCACTTGCTGGTAAGGGAAGGTGAGGCACATCCCTCTGACACGGGGTTATCTGGAGACTGCGTAGTGGAAGCAGGCTGTAGACAAGTACCTGGGTGACCCTGCTAGCACAGGCGGAGCTGAGGACACTGCCCAACACTCAGAAGGCCCTGAGTGTACACAGGCTCAACTGACCAAGGGGAGGGAAGCCACGCGTGGTTCTCCAATGGCCACCGAGTGCCTTGCAGGCCTTAAGATGGCTACCGAGAACTGGGTAGAGCAGAGCAGGCACACGGCAGTGTCCATGCCTCCCTTCCCTAAATGTAGAGCAGAGTTCCCACTCAGCCAGTGAAACAGTCACACAAGTCTACGAACCATGAACGCACAAATTTTGGTCTCTAGAAGACCACTTCCGTCTAAGTTTCAGGCTATCAACAGGCACAGTGATTTGACTAAAGCTGAGCCTGCAAAGCCTTTGCTAGAATTCGATGTCTAGTTCTTAATCTCCCAAACTGAAAGACAGTAAGAAGAAACTTAGAAGGCATCCAGACACGGGAAAGAAAAAATGAGCCAGTTCAGTGAAAGTTTTGTCCCAAAGAGTCAGAGTTCTCTATCATCTAACTGAAAGAGACTCAAAGATCGGAATGGATACTGTCCTGAAAATAAGTGAAGAGTGGGGGGAATTCCCAGGGTGAGAGAAAGGAGGTGAGTGTTTGCTCTGACTGTGATCAACAGTGGCTTTCCACAATTTAGCCAATAACAACTTTAAAGCTTCAGGTCATTTTCTGTCTTTATGGTTTGAGAAGGTGAGTACTCGATCACAGAGCCAGGCTAAATGTGCTATCATCTATACCCGCATAGTTAGACTAGGAAACACTCTGTCCCTGACTGACAGCACAAGGTTAAGCATTACTGTGCTTTGATCTGATGTCACACATTTACAGTAAGAGTCTCTAGAAGATGCCATTTATGACCATCACAATTTGCTTATTGGTCTCTTGCTGCTACTAAAGAAATTCTTGTTGTAAAACTACATTTAGATATACTCTCTGTGTTTTTCTATAAGATCAAGATGTTAAAGGCTGAACTCAGAAGAGATATTTGTGAAAGCTTATGTGAGAATGTAAAGTGTCACTGCACGGGTCACGCAGAGGCATCCTCATGGCTTAGAGGTAAGCAGTGAAGAACACCACACAATCAGCTAAACAGAACGTTATCCATCCTGGCCTGGTGAAGGAGAAACCATTTTGTAAAATTATCACGAAGTCTGAACTACAGAAAATACAAAACATGACTAACACTCCTAGAGAATGTACAGAATCCTTTCTGCACAACAAATAACCAAACCGATATTTCAGGTCAATTCATGTACACGACCGTGACTCACC